TTGGAAGCCTCTTGGAGCTTCCTGGGGGCCTCTCGAGGCCTCTTGCGGACTCCTGGGGGCCTCTTGGGAGCTTCTGGTTGGCGAGGGCTCGAAATGTCAGTTCGTGTTCCCCATCTGGGGCTCCTCTTGGAGTGTTCTGGGAGCTCTTTTGGGCCGTCTTGGAAGCTTCCTGGGCCGTATTGGGGCCCTCTTGGGCTGTCTCGGTGGTCTCTTGGGGGCCTCTGGGCTCGTCTTGAGGCGATCTTTCGGGCCTCTTGGGCCGCCTTGGAGCGTCTGGAAGCCGAACTGGGGAGAACGCCAAAACCCTTCAAAACCCACTAAAAATCAGTGACAATTTCCTATTGGGCCCCTCCCGAGAGTGCTGTCGGAGACCTGCTGGGACGCTTTGGCAGCTTTTTAACCGTCTTGGAGTGCTCCCGGGCCGCTTCGGACCTCTCTTGGGCTGTCCTGAGGGCGTCCTGGAGCCATTTTAGAGGGTCCTGGGAGCGTCCTGGCGTCTCCGGCGGGGGGGTGACCACAGCCACTGGGCAAAGTGAGGCCCCCCCTGGTCCAGGACCCCCTCCCCATTTGTTAAAATATTATACATATATATATATATATATATATATACATAATATATATATAAGACATATTAGATATAAATAGATATACTATATATATATATATATATACTAGTGTGGACCCGTGGATTAAATCCACGGAGGTGCGCCGTCGCAACCGTCGGTGCCGTCATCGTCGTAACCGTCGGCGTCGGCGTCGGCGGCGTCGGCGTGTTCTTCGGCGTGGGAGCCTCTTGGAGTCCTGTTGGGCCGTCTTGGGGCGGTCTATGAAGCGTCTGGGGCCGTCGTGGAGCATCGGGATGCGAAAACTCGTACAAGGCCAAAATGTACGTTTTCCGAAGGAAATTTGACGATGTTGGCTTCCTGGGGTTCTGTGCGGAAGGTTTGGGGGCCGTCTTACGGGATCTTGGAGGTCTCTCGGGCCGTGTTTGCGGTCTCTCAGAAGCTCCGGCGCCGTTTCGGGTCTCTGCGGGCGTCTTCCGGAGCCGTTTCATGGCCTCTGGGATGCCCTCGTGGGCCGTCGTGGGAGCCTCTTCGAGTTCTGTTGGGCCGTCTTGGGGCGGTCTATGAAGCGTCTTGGGCCGTCTTGGAGCCTCGGGATGCGAAAACTCGGACATGCCCGAAATGTACGTTTTCCCGATGGAATTTGACGATTTTGGCTTCCCGGGGCTCTGACGGGATCTTGGAGGTCTCGAGGGCCGTGTTTGTGGTCTGTCAGAAACTCCGGCGCCATTTCGGGCCTCTGCGGGTGTCTTCCAGAGCCGTGTCAGGGCCCCTGGGATGCCCTCTTGGGCCGTCGTGGGAGCCTCTTAGAGTCCTGTTTGGCCGTCTTGGGGCGGTGTATGAAGCGTCTTGGGCCGTCGTGGAGTTTTGGGATGCGAAAACGCGTACATGCCCAAAATGTACGTTTTCCCGCGGGAATTTGACGATTTTGGCTTCCTGGGGCTCTGTGGGGAAGGCTTTGAGGGCCGTCGTGCAGGATCTTGGAGGTCTCTGGGACGGTGGTGGGGGTCTCTCAGGAGCTCTGGCGCCATGTCGGGCCTCTCCGGGTGTCTTCCGGAGCCGTTTCGGGGCTCCTGGGAGGCCCTCTGGGGCCGTCGTGGGAGCCTCTTGGAGTCCTGTTGGGCCGTTTTGGGGCGGTCTATGGAGCGTCTTTGGCCGTCGTGAAGCATCGGGATTTGAAAAGTCGTAGATGCCCAAGATATACGTTTTCCAATGGAAATTTTACGATTTTGGCTTCTCGGGGCTCTGTGCGGACGGCTTTGGGGGCCGTCTTACGGGATCTTGGAGGTCTCTTGGGCCGTGTTGGGGGTCTCCCAAGAGCTCCCGCACTGGTTCGGGCCTTTCGGGGTGTCTTCCGGAGCCGTTTCAGGGCCCCTGGGAGGCTCCGGGAGGCTCGGGGAGCCGGGGGCCCACACAAACCCACAAGGCATCTTACGGATTTATTTGAGCGCATATATATATATATATATATATATATATATATATATATATATATGGTCGCCCCCCCAAGATCATACCTTTTCGTCTCCTCATCCTCGACTGCTTCTTTTCCTTTTTTTTTTTTTCTCTCTCTCTCTCTCTCTTTCTCTCTCTCTCTCTGCCTCTCTCTCTCTCTCTCTTTCTGCCTCTCTCTCTCTCTCTCTCTTTTTTTTGTTCTCTCTCTCTCTCTCTATCTCTTTATTTCTTTCTTTCTTTCTTTCTCTCTCTCTCTCTATATATACGCAATGCTTGGCGCCACCGATGCAAGGAAACTTTTTTTTTTGGTCTGCGAAGCCACGAAACACTTTTTCTTTGTTTTGAGAGGCAGAGAGAGGGGTGCTGGGAGGGAGGCCGCGGCGGGCACGGGGGCTTGCAAACCCAAAAAACCCAAAAAACCAAACATACACAATGTTTCGTGGCGTCGCAAATAAACAAAACCCCAAAAAACAAACATACACAGCGTTTCCGTGCATCGGTGGCGCCAAACACGGTGCACGCGCGCGTTCTGTCTTGATTCGGGAGGCACAGAGACAGGTGCGGGGGGGGGGAGGCGGCAGGGGAGCAACGAGCTCTCTCCCCAAGCTGAGCTTGAAAATAACCTACTACTCAACTCCCTCCGTCTCCAACACACCACCAGATACTCAACTGGCTCCCCTCAAGCTGAACTTGGAAATGATATTATACTCAACTCTTTCCGTCTCCAACACACCATCCAATACTCAACCCCCTCCGTCTCCAACACGCCAACCGATACTCAACAGGCAGCCTCCCCAAGCTGAACTTGAAAAGTATCCCAGAGGAGCCCCGACGAGTTGAAGCCCCGAGGAGAGCAATATTAGTAGTAACGGTAAACGCCGTCCTCCTCCTTCTCCTCATCGTCGCAATTGTAGCAGTAGCGGTAATAGTTGTAGTAGTAGTAGTAGTAGTAGTAGTAGTAGTAGTAGTAGTAGTAGTAGTAGTAGTAGTAGTAGTAGGTGTAGTAGTAGGTGTAGTAGTAGTAGTAGTAGTAGTAGTAGTAGTAGTAGTAGTAGTAGTAGTAGTAGTAGTAGTAGTGAAAGTAGTAGTAACAGTAGTCGTAAAAATAGTAGTAAAAGTAGTAGTAGTAGTAGTAGTAGTTAGTTAGTAGTATGTCTAGTAGTAGTTACGTAGTTGTAGTACGTAGTAGTTAGTATTAGTAGTAATCGTAGTTGTAGGTTGGAGGTGTAGTAGTAGTCGTTAGATAGTTAGAAGTAGTAGTTAGTAGTATTAGCAGCAGCTGCTAGCAGCCGCGCGCACAGCAGCAGTAGTAGTAGGTAGTCAGTAGATAGTAGTAGTAGTAGTAGTAGTAGTAGTTGTAGTAGTATTAGTAGTTGTAGTAGGGGTTGTTGTCGTAGTCGTCGTAGTCGTCGTCGTCGTGTCGTCGTCGTCGTGGTCGGTCGTAGTAGTAGTAGTAGTAGTAGTTTAGTTAGTAGTAGTAGTAGTGTGGTGGTGGTGGTGGTGGTGGTGGTGGTGGTGGTGGTGGTGGTGGTGGTGGTGGTGGTGGTGGTGGTGGTGGTTGGTGGTAGTAGCAGTAGCAGTAGCAGTAGCAGTAGCAGTAGCAGTAGCAGTAGCAGTAGCAGTAGCAGTAGCAGTAGCAGTAGCAGTAGCAGTAGCAGTAGCAGTAGTAGTAGTAGTAGTAGTAGTAGTAGTAGTAGTAGTAGTAGTAGTAGTAGTAGCACTGCTATGCTATGATATGCTATGATATGCGATGCGATGCTGCGCTGTGCTGTGCTATGCTATGCTATGCTGCGCTATGCTATGCTATGCTGCGCTATGCTATGCTATGCTGCGCTATGCTATGCTTTGCTATGCTAATGCTGCGCTGCGCTAAGCTAAGCTGCGCTAAGACGAGATGTATGATCTTTGGGGGGGGGGCAACCATATATGTATATATATATATACATATATGTATGTGTATATATATTTATACATACACATATATATATATATGTATATATATAGAAACATACGTAAACTATGTAGGATTGATTGTGTACACAGGAGAAGAAGAATCTATAGAAACATACGTACGTCGTCCAAGCCGCCTCGGAAGGTGCAGAATACTCCTCCAAGGCGCGGAAACATGTTCCCGGACCGCCTTCCGGGAACATGATGGGGACGACCTCCTGAGGGCCTCCAGTGGGCCTCTTGGGGGCCTCTCGGAGGCCTGTTGGGCTCTCCTGGAGGCGTCTTGGGGCGCGCTCAGGGCCATTTTTGGGCATCTTGGGGGCCTCTGGGGGCCTCCGGGGAGGCTCTTGGGGGCCTCTTTGGGGCCTCTTGGCGCCCGCGGGGCCCTCTTGGGGACCGCTGGGCTCGCTTAGGCAGTCTTGAAGCCCTGTCGGGGCTCTCTTGGAACCGTCTTGGGCGGCTCCAGGGCCATCTTGGGGCTCTCCTGGGCCGTCTTGGGACGATTCTGGGGGTCTCTTGGGCCGTCTTGGGGCGGTCTTGGGGGCCTCTTCGGCCGTCTTGGAGCGGTTTTGGGAGACTCTTGGACGGCCTTGGAGCGTCGGAACCCCAAAAAAGCGAGAAGGCCAAAAACCTCGAACAAAAGAATAAAAATCAACGATATTGGCTTGTCGGGGCTCTCTTGGGAGACCTCTTGGGATGCCTTCGGGGCCTCATGGAGCTCTCTTGGAACGTCTTCGGGCCTTCCTGGCCATTCCTGAGGCTATCTATGCGCGTCTTGGAGCGCTCGCGGGCCGTCTTGGGCGGTCTCGACCTGTTCCTGGCGGTCCCAGGGGCCCTCCGGGGCGCTTCGGACGCTCCCTGGGGCGCCCTGCACCCCCCATGGAGATTACTGGCAGCGCCCTGGGCCGCCCCCGGGCCCTACTCCGATATATATATATATATATATATATACACACAAATGCTCTATCCTCGAGGGTCGACGGGGAGAAGTGCTCTCTTTTTCTACTGCTGTCGCAGCGTCTCCCGAACCGCCTCAGCTGAGACAGAGAGACGCCACGGTCCTCCATCACGGGCTGGATGTCGGGCGAGCACCTCCCTGCTCCATGCTCCATCTCCTCCTCTTCCATCTCCTCTGCGGCCTCCTCCTCCTCCTCCTTCTCCTCCTCCTCCACTCCTCGTCCTCCCCTCCCCCCCCCTCCTACCTCCATCTCCCTTCTCCCTCCTCCTCCTCCTCCTCTCCTCCTCCTCCTCCGTCCTCCTCCTCCTCCTCCTCCTCCTCCCTCTCCCCCCTCCCTCCTCCATCCCTCCCTCCCCCTCCCTCCCTCCCCTCCGTCCCTCCTTCTCCCTCCGTCCTCCTCTCCTACCTCCTTCCTCCATCCTCCCATTTTCTCCCTCCTCCTCCTCCTCCTCCTCCTCCTCCTCCTCCTGCTCCTCCTCCTCCCTCTCCCGGTGCCGGCTCGGCGGCTCGAGCCAGTCTGGCTCCAACCGTTGGCAGGCGCCATCGGAGCCCGCGCTCTGGCGCCGTGCGCGGCTGAAGCCCAGCAACGCTGCCGGGCGGCGCGCGATCCACGTCGCTAGGCCGAGGCCCGCAGTGGCGCTGCGTCCCGCACACCGCCCGCATGCGTCCCGCATGCGGGCGGTGTGCGGTGCCACGCATGCGTGGCACTAGGCCGCCCGCATGCGTCCCGCACACCCACTTCGCGCGGTGGCGCTGGTCGAGTCGAATCGCGCCCTGCACAGAAGAAACTGGCCCCAATGAAGGGGAGGGCGGCGTGCTGCTACTAGGCGGGCGGGCCCGCCTGGAGCAGAAAAGTTGAAAGTACAAGTGATGAAACGAATCAGAAGAGGAGGAGGAGGAGGAGGAGGAGGAGGAGGAGGAGGAGGAGGAGGAGGAGGAGGAGGAGGAGGAGGAGGACAGGAGAGAAGATGAGAGGAGAGGGGGGGGGAGCCGGCTGCTCAGAGCTCGGTGTAGCTCGGTGGAGCTGGGGGGGCCAGAAGGCGCCGATACCAGACAAGCGCGTTCCGCAACTCGCAAAGTAAGTACTCGGCTGCACGCAAGGGTGGCCCTAGGCAAGAGTGACCTTTGGTGCGCGGCTGAACGGGGGACGCGGGTGGCCAAACCTGGGCGCGCAAGCCGCTGCCACCGCTTCGCGCTCAGCGGTCGGGGGACCCCATTGGACTCGCACTGAAGGTCCCTCTGGCAAACGGGCACTCTTACGTCTAGTCGAACTACTCCCGATTGGCCGACAAACCAATCAATCGATCAGGCGCCGACCAGCCGGGTGGTCTCGCGAGTGAACAAGTGCGTTCCACTACTCGCAGAATAACTACTCGCAAATGGCCTGGATCAGCCGCGGGGGACGATCCATTGCATCGAGGCAAACATGTGTTTCTCGGACGTGTGCGAGTGGGTGCTTTGCGAATGGTGGAACACACTCGGTGAGATACATCTTCGGCAGGTTCGTGTCGTGCCGACCCCGGCGTTGGTTCCTGACACCGCGGGGATCAATCAATCTTGAACGATCGGGCGTTTCTTAAACGTCAAATCGTTCAACATCGACCGATTCTGGGTCGCCGGCGGCGTTCAACATTGAGCACCGTCGGCGGGGTCGCCGCCGGTCGACATGACGCGAACCTACTGCTACGCCCTGGACCTCTCCCGGGGTGCGTTCTGACTAGAATTCTGGGGCAAACCGAGCGGGGGCGATGAAGGCCTCCCAGGAGGCCCAGAAAGGCGAAAGCGAGGCAAAGGTAAGGTTAGGTCGGGCATGTCCTCCTACAGGCGGAACTAGGACGAAGCATTAAACAAACTCAAGAAACTCTCCCAAATAGTCAGAACAAAAAACGTCCCCAGAGTATTCTTTGACTATTTTGGAAGATTCCTGCTGTACTGGGACAGGCCCGACTTCAGGGTAACGGCATTGGTACCCTTTCCTTCTCTGAAGCGCGCCTTCTGGCCAGCCTTCGCAGCGCTGGGCGAGCATCGCGGCGGGTAGCCTGCTCGCCCAGGTGCCGCCCCTCCCCTGCGCTCGAGGCATCCCCGGCGGAGGCGCAGCTCCGGCCGAGCCGCCTGGCGAGGCGGCAACCGCTGCTCCAGAAGTCCCCGCCGAATCAATGTCCCATTTGGCTCGGGCGCGTGGCTCTGCGCAATCAGGCAGTCCATGCGAACTGCGAACTGCGACCCGCTTGGAACGCCGCGAGGGCGCTGCAGGGTGGGGCCGAAGCACCCGGAAAGCGACTATGCAGCACTGCCGGAACGCGCCTGGGCAATAGAATAATCTACAACATCGCCCTCTAGATCGGCCTAGGCAGTCCATGGCATGCCCCAAAGTGTGTGTGTGTGTGTGTGCGCGTGTCAATGATGCCCATGAGGCTCTAGCCACACGCAGTTAAAGCAACGCGTTTGTTGCAGTCAATGCTTGACCATCCATTCTGCTGGTTCTCATCGGCCTCTGGATTAGCGCTACTTCCATTCAGGGGGGTGGCTGCCCAGGGGAGTGGAAGGAGGGGCGCGGCGACGGCGCAGGCGCTGGCGGACAAGGCCGACCTGACCCCGACGGAGGAGCTGGAGGCCGAGCGGAGGGCTGAGCTGGAGCGCTGCCAGGCCGGCTCGAGGCGGCGGAGGCCGCTGAGCGGTCGGCCGCCACGGTCGCCGCTGGGCTCGAGGAGGGGCTCGCCTCCGCAGTCGCCGCCGTGCGGGCGCGGGGGACGGAGGAGGTGACGAGGAACGAGCAGCGATGCGTGCGAGGAGGTGCCGATGCGGGTGGCCACTGCTCCTGCGGCCGCGGCCTCCCCTTCCTCGGGCGTGGGGGCGTGCGCGGCAGGCGAGGGCAACGGTGCGGCTGGGGGCATATCCAGTTTTCGCCGAGGGCATCGAGGAGTTCGAGGTCCTCTTCTGGTCTCGGGCGTCGTCAACTTCCCTGCGGTGCTCGCAGGACATCCCCTGTGGTGCTGGGGAAGCTCAGGGTAGATTGCTCGATTGATCTCACTCTTGTGATGGCGGTAATCCTTTTTTTTTCGCTCCACCCACGCGCTCCGCCCGAGGGCTGGGTGCCGGGCAAGCACCTATTTCCCACCTTCTTCCGAATCCTCTCTCCTGCATCCTACCTCCCTCGTCTCTCCGCCATCTTTCTTGCGTCCCTCCCTCCATCCCTCCTTCCCTCTCCTCCTCCTTCTCCGCCTCCCTCTCCCTCCTCTCCATCCTCCTGCGCCTCCGCCACAGGACTCGATGTAGGGTGATCGCTGTCATCCTCACTCCCCTCTTCCCTCCATCCCTCCTCCTTCCTACTCCCTCCCTGCCTCCTCCTCCCTCCTGCCCCGCGCGCGGGCAGCGACCATGGCCGCGACCGCGACGCCGACGACCACGACGACGATGACGACGGCGATGGCGGCGACGACGGGGAAGACCACGACGACGACGACGACGGGCAAGCACCGCCCGTGGTCCGCGCAGCCCTCGCCGACCTGGACGCGCACCGCGTCCGGCGCCGCCGTCAGGATCTGCCCCCTCCGCCACTGCGCCTCTTGTACAAGGAGAGGGCTTCGGGAGGGCGGCAGGGAGGGGAAGGAATGATGCTGATGATGATGCTGATGATGAGGATGCGGATGATGATGAGGATGCGGATGATGGTGATGATGCTGATGCTGATCATCATGATGATGCTGATGCTGATGCTGATGCCGCTGCTGCTGCTGATGATGATGCTGATTCTGATGATGATGATGATGATGATGAGGAGGAGGAGGATGAGAGCTTCGGGAGGGCGGCAGGGAGGGGAATGCTGATGATGATGATGCTGATGCTGCTGCTGCTGATGATGATGATGATACTTTGTATGATGCTTTTCTAACCCTTCTGTGTTGGGCTCTCGTTTGGATCTAGCACTGCTCGCACGTCTCCTCCCTTCCTTCTTGCCTCCCTTCCGCCTCCTCCCTCCTCCTGCCTCCTCCTTCTCATCCTCTATGCCTCCCTCCCAGTAGTGAACTGCGCAACCGTAGCCACTTTCGTGGACTCCTGTGAGGTCCAGCGGAGGCGGTAGTCAGGCGATACCTCGCAGCCCCCTGGGAGGCTACGAACTGTGCAACTGCCGCCACTTTCGTGGACTCCTGCGAGGTCCAGCGGAGGCGGTAGTCAGGCAAGACCTCGCAGCTCCCTGGGAGGCTACGCACTGTGCAACCGCCGCCACTTTCGTGGGCTCCTGAAAGACAGAGACATACCGAAGCAATTCAAGAAGGCTTCTCGCTGAGGACCTATTCGTGTGCAATGCTTCTAATTCTACAACGGAACATCACCCTACAATGCACTATTTGGGCGTCAGCCGGCATGTTTACCCGACGTAGTCAGGCGAGACCTCGCGGCTCCCTGGGAGGCTGCGAACTGTGCAACTGTCGCCAGTTTCGTGGGCTCCTGGGAGGTCTAGCGGGGTAGATTGTCCTTGCGACGCGATTGTTTTCCCCAATCAGTGGTTGTACTTGAGGTTTGGGTGTCGGCCTGGCGGCTCCGTGCTCGCCGTCGCCGCCCCGTCGCCGCCCGTTGTCTGGGCCTGGGCGTCGGTCTGGCGGGCCCCGTTGTCGCCGTCGCCGCTCCGTCGCCGCCTCGCATAGATTCGTTTTTTTTTTTTTTGTTTTTTTTTTTTTGTTGTAAAATATAATAAACTCTACCCCCCCCCCCCCCCGGACTTATCGGTTCCCCCTGGGATAATATGATTTCATATATATTCTGCACACTCGTCCATCCTAAATATGAAACCATACCATCCCAGCTAGGCCGGTTTCCCCCCCTGAGGTTGCCTTGTAAAAAACAATATGCGGTGACATTTTTTGTTCTAGCATAACACACTTTCACGACTCCCTTGCAAAAACGAAGCGAAGTGCACACGCGCGCGTCGTCGCGCGCGCATGCCGAAATCCTTCAAAAACCTTCGGTGCGGGAAGGATGTCGCAATCGAGTTTCCAAAACACATACAAAAACACAGGGTTTCGCAACACAGAGTTGCTAAAACACTTCCGCGAAAGCTCTTGCGAAATCTTGAGAAAACCATGGGTTTGTCAAGATTTTCGTAAAATGCTACCAAACGGGCTTCGCGCGGGCTCATGTCGAAATCTGTCGAACGCCCTTACGCGTGTGCCGTCGCGAGAATCCCCTGCAAAAAAACAGGGCGAAGTGCAGACGCGCGCGTCGTCGCGCGCGTATGCCGAAAACCTTCAAAACCCATCGGTTTCGGAAGGATTTCAAAATCGTGTGTCCAAAAAAACTACAAAAACACAAGGTTTCGCAACACGGATTTTCAACAAAAGCGTGCGCGCGCGCTCTTGCGTCGTCGTCGTCGTCGTCGTCGCTGTCCTCCTCCCTCGTCGTTGTCGTCGTCGTCGTCGCCGCCGTCGTCGTCTTCTGTCTTTCCTCGTCGTCGTCGTCGTCGTCGTCTTGGCGTCGTCGTCGCTTCCGTCGTCGTTGTCGCCGTGGTCGTCCTTCCTCCCTCGTCGTCTTCGTCGGCGTCTCGTCGTTGTCCCTCTTATTTCGTCGCCGTCGTCGTCGTCGTCGTCGTCGTGGTCTTCACTCCTCCCTCGTCGTTATCCTCCTCCCTCGTCGTCGTCGTCGTCCGTCGTCGGCGTCTCGTCGTCGTCCCTCCTATTTCGTCGCCGTCGTCGTCGTCTTCGTCGTCGTTGTCGTCGTCGTCGTCTTCCCTCCTCCCTCGTCGTTGTCGTCGTCGGCGTCGCCGTCCTTCCTCCTTCTTCGTCGTTGGCGTCGTCGCCGTCTTCCCTCCTCCATCGTCGTTGTCGTCGTTGTCGCCGTCGTCGTTTTTTCTCCTCCCTCGTCGTCGTCTCCGTTGGCGACGTCGTCGTCGTCTTCGTCGTCGTCGTCGGCGTCGGCGTCGTCGTCGTCTTCGTCGACGTCGACGTCGGCGGTGTCGTCGTAGTCGGTGTCTGCGGCGCCGTCGTCGTCGTTGTCGCTGTCGTCGTCGGCGTCGGTGTCGTGGCCAAGTGCCATGTGGTACCTACCGTCACGGTCTTGTCTTAAGAAGTCTTGCGACCAAGTTGCGGGTGGGAGGGTGGGATGTTTGCACGAGCAGTAGAGAGGACAGCTTCAAGACGGTCCAAGTGGATTGCAGCGCGTAGATTGCACCACATAATGCACTACATAGATTGCACCGCATACATTGCACCACATGGGTTGCACCACACATATTGCACAACATAGATCGCACCACATCTATGGCATCACATCGATTTAACATCATATATCTTAGATCACACCACGTATGTTGCCACATGCATTACACGTAGATCACACCACATATATATATATATATTGCCACACGCAGAACGCACCGCATTCATTATACAACGTAGATCGCATGACCGATGTTGCAAGACCTCGATGGCGCTACATCGATTGCACCACGCAGGTTGCACCGCATATATTACGCAGCATAAATGGCACAACATATATTGCCCCACGTAGGTCGCGCCACGTATATGGCACCGCATATATTGCACCGCGTATATTCTCCTTTCTAAAAAAAGAATAGACTCTACCCCCCCCCGGCGTTATCCGCCCCCCTTTCGGGTATGTAAATCATTCATGATTCTGAACACAGGTCCATCCTAAATATGAATTTGCACCATCCCCGGGGGGCCGGTATCGACCCCCCTGAGGTTCCCTTGTAAACAGCAATACGCGGGGACATTTTCTGTTCTAACATAACACTTTCTCGTACATCTCTTGCAAACAATTGGACGAAGTGCACACGCGCGCGTCGTCGCGCGCGCGCTCTTGCGTCGTCGTCGTCGTCGTCGTCGCCGTCCTCCCTCCTCCCGCCTCGTCGTCGTCGTCGTCGTCGCCTACGTCGTCCTCTGTCGTTCCTCGTGTTCGTCGTCCTCTTTGGCGTCGTGGTCGTTTCCGTCGTCGTTGTCGCCGTGGTCGTCCTTCCTCCTCCTCCCTCGTCGTCGTCGTCGTCCGTCGTCGGCGTCTCGTCGTCGTCCCTCCTATTTCGTCGCCGTCTTCGTCGTCGTCGTCGTTGTCGTCGTCGTCGTCTTCCCTCCTCCCTCGTCGTTGTCGTCGTCGGCGTCGCCGTCCTTGCTCCTTCTTCGTCGTTCGCGTCGTCGCCGTCCTCCCTCCTCCCTCGTCGTTGTCGTCGTTGTCGTCGTTGTCGCCGTCGTCGTCCTCCCTCCTCCCTCGTCGTCGTCTTCGTTGGCGACGTCGTCGTCGTTTTCGTCGTCGTCGTCGGCGTCGGCGCCGTCGTCGTCTTCGTCGTCGTCGACGTCGGCGTCGTCGTCGTCGCCGCCGTCGTCGTCGTCGCCGTCGTCGTCGTCGTCGGCGTCGTTGACGTCGTCGTCGTCGTGTCGTCGTTGTCGTCGTCGTCGGTGTCGTCATCGTCGTCGTCGTTGTCATCGTCGTCGTCTTCGTCGGCGTCGGCGTCGTCGTCGTCGGTTTCGTCGTCGTCGTCGTCGTCGTCGTTGTCGGCGTCGTCGAAGTCGTTGGAGACGTCGTCGGTGTCGTCGTAGTCGTTGTCGGCGGCGTTGTCGTCGTCGTCGTCGTCGCTGTCGTCGTCGGCGTCGCTGTCGTTGCCAAGTGCCATTTGGTACCCACCGTCACGGTCTTAAGAGATTTTGCAAACCAAGTTGCGGGTGGGTGGGTGGGATGTTTGCGCGAGCAGTGGAGTGGACAACTCACTGCGAATTAATTGCACCAAATATATTGCGCCACATAACTTGCGCACCATCTATATATGTACGTATGTATATATGCCTGTATGTATGTATGTATGTATGTATGTATGTATGTATGTATGTGTGTATGAGTACTTTTATACACAATTCTGAATGTATAACGACATATTGCTAGAATCGCACTGTTTTGGGTCCATGCCGGCTAACATTACATGGAACGTTCGTATAAACAGTTGCCTCGCGTGGAGAAGGGGTTGGGTACGTCTCGGGTCAATTTTCTGTTTTTGTGGTTGTTCGCTTGTTTACGGTAAGACTCATGATCGCCATCATGCCCGTCATGGTGGTGATGCTTATGGTTGTGATGGCAGGGATGATGATAATGATGTTACTGAGCATGATGATGATGATGATGATGATGAGGATGATGATGGTGGTGATGATCATGATGATGATGATGCTGATGATGAAGATGATGATCGATGAGAGCAATGACGCGAAGGACACGACGACGAGACAACGAGACCACCCTGCACGCACCGAGGCGCGGCCGCATGCAAGAGCTGGTGGGGGAAAGGCCGTGGTCTAGAGAGGCCCTGAAGGCGCTGGTGCAGATATACACGCCGTTCATTTCTAATCGTGCTCATTTCTAACTGTGCTCGTTTCTAATTGCTCCTGGCCCCCCAGTGGCCAGGAAGAGGCCCAGGATAGAACAATTAGAAATGAAAGGATCTTGGCCCCCCAAAAAACCAAAGAACTTTCGAAGACATAGAAATTAACAATGTGTTGTTCTCGGGAAAACGCTGGCGCTGGGGCAGTCGTTGCCGCGTTCACGTTTGCAATTTCAGCCTTGTCAGAACATCGCAATGCAATGTTGCAACATTCTTCCAGCCATGTTTCTCCAGCTGGCTCCTCGTATTGGGCTCAATATGTTCATGCATTGCCTAAAGATCCGAAAACTATGTCCGAATTATCTGGCGGGTCTCCTGTTCCAGGGGAGTGTGCCCCGCATTTCCCGCCACAGACTTCACCTATGCAAGTCACGCAGTTTTTCTAAGAAATTATCTCTGGATATAAGAACTACTGTCGGAAAGATGCGCAACTTCACATTATCCCTCATTTGTTCGTAGCACATCTTATACAAATGGTGTGAATCACATCGCGCTTCTGCGACGAATGTCAAAACCAGTGTATTGCAAGTAGTGGCAACAGAGTTTTTTAGCATGTATCGAAGTCTGTCTCATTGAACCTACTTTCACACTCGTGACGAAACATCGTTTCTGAAAGAGTCTCCGCCTGAGCCTCAAACTTCGTACATTCAACTTCATGTTGGGCTGGGGCAGGTCGGCAGGTCCATCTGCATATTCGGTTGGGCGCTCGCTTGCGCCAAAACCATCCCCAATCTACTAGGAGGGGGAGCAGGGAAAAGGGATGAGATGAGTGTCACGAGGCGTCAGAAGGGGAGCTGGGAGGGAGAGGAGGAGAGGAGGATGAGGAGGACGAGGAGGAGGACGACGACAACGGACGACGGACGGCGAACGAAACGATGGGCATGAAGGAGACGGGTCCTGCGTGCCGCTGCTTGCCAAGACCTTCCCCGGGACAGATTTCCCCCCCGAGCTGTCGTTTGACTGTCCTGGGGCCCCGGAAGGGCCTCGCAGGCCGAAGACTGCCCAACAAGAACATCCATGACCTGTGTCCCTGGGGACCTTTTTACGTTCGTGTCGGCCGAAAGGGGGGTTATCTACGGGGGGGATAGCGACTCAGCTCATGCAGCGGGTTTTCCTGGCGCCGGAACGCCAGGACAAACAGTGCATGGAGGAAAGCGCCTGGCGGCGGGGCCAAGACCAGCTGAATGCAACAGATTTCGCACCGCCCTTCTTTCTGGATCCTGCCCAGGACGGGAAACACCGACCTGGAATCGGCGATCCATCGCCGACAGGCCCCCGAGAACGAGTCTACACGCTCCTGCATCCTGGGCGGGGTGGGGCTGTAGGGCCCGCATCGGCGATTAAATGGGCGCTTGGGAGTCGATGTGTCCACGTCGTTCATTTCTAATCGTGCTCATTTCTAGTCGTGCTCGTTTCTAATTATTCCTGGCCCCCTAGTGGCCAGGAAGAGGCCCAGGATAGAACAGTTAGAAGTGAAAGGATCTTGGCCCTCCAAAAACTCACAGAACTTTCGAATAATGAGAAATGAACCATGTGTCCTTCCCTCCTGAGTCCCCGAACCTAATCCCCTCGAGCCCAGATCCCCCACGTCCCGACGTCGTGATCTCTTCGCACCGTGGACCCCCAGAGGTCTAGATCCTTCCCCTGGGCTCCTCCTCCTCCTCCTTCCCCTCCTCCTCCTCCTCCTCCTCCTCCTCCCCCTCCTCCTCCTCCTCCTCCTCCTCCTCCTCCTCCTCCTCCCTCCTCTCCTCCTCCTCCTCCTCCTCCTCCCCCCCCTCCTCCTCCTCCCCGTCCTCCCCCTCCTCCTCCTCGCCCTCCTCCTCCTCCTCCTCCTCCTCCTGGTCCTCCTCCTCCTCCTCGTCCTCCTCCTGGGCCAGTTCTTTGACGATCCTGGGGCCCAAGGGTCCCCAGGGGCCAAGCATGGCCCCCCCCCACCCCCCCGGCGCGCGACTCTTTCCACGATGCGAGCGTGTCTGGATGTCCCTATCCCCCAGATTTCCTCCGACCCGAGCCTCTCCCCGGGCGGCTGAGTCCAGCCCGCGGTGGCGCTGTCAATGTGATTTCGGCTCTGTTTGACGAGTTCTTCCACAGCGAACGCTGGCAGGAACCACGACGGCCCTTGCCTATCATTGGCGGCGCGCAGAGGGTAGGGGGGGGGAAGGATTCTTAGAAACAGGCTGCTTCTTAGAAGGAGTTGGCCCTATATCTCCAGATCTGGCCCGCGCCTTCTGAGAAGCGGGGTGCTTCTAAGAAGCCTTCCCTCCTTCCCCTACCCCTCACTGCGCGTGGCTGACTATCGATCGGCTGTGGACAAACCTTCCTTTAGTAAACCACCCTTTAGTGAAAACTACCTAGGACCGAAACCGACGGACCTGGACCTGTAAAAATAACGGCCGCGACGCCTTCTCGCGAACCAAAAACGGCCAATTCGCCAATCGACGTGTTAGGGTACACGTCGTTCATTTCTAGTCGTGCTCATTTCTAGTCGTGCTCGTTTCGAATTGTTCCTGACCCCCTAGTGGCCAGGAAGCGGCCCAGGACACAACAGTTGGAAGTGAAAGGATCCTGGACCCCCAAAAAATCAGAGAACTTTCGAAGAATTAGACAAGATCCCTGTGTGGGAAACCTATCGACCTCCGAATCAACCCGCGCGTTCCTCAGGATACGTGGCCACCTTGCCTGCCTGCCTGCCTGCGACCCCTTCCATGACAGGGGCGCGTGCGCCGGCCTCGCAGGCTTCCCTGCCCCCCAGGTTCCGTCCAACCCGATCCCTGCCGCTGTGGACGCCCGACATGGGTACACACAAAATTGAAGGGACCCTGGGACACACAAACAAATATACACAAATAACAAGATTCCCCATATTTTGCAATATTTTCTGGGTTCTTGTCTTCTCCCCCACTTCCCATATTTTCCCATATTTTCCGGGGGATCGACGATTAATTGTGTCTGTGTGTTTTTTCCCCTCCCGAAAAATGGGCAGATGCCCAACGACACATGAGCGACGAAGGAAACGGGTCCTACGCGAAACGACATAGCGACCTTGCATGGCGGCTTACGCGGTCCGCCAGCGCAGCACGCCACGCTGGAAGCGAGGGCTCTTACGCGCGACCTTACGCGGGCAGCGTAGGCGCCAATCTCGACCAGGACGAACCCGTTCCCTTCCGCCGCTCACGTGTTGTCCAACCTCGACAGCGTCCGCTACTGGGCAAGCGCCCTCTTGTCTCACATGGACACCGTCCGCGGCGACACCGACAACGAGTCCTGCTCAACGCGAACGAGATCTGTGGTCGGTCTCTGTGCCCATTGTTTCCGTACCGCGGGTTCGTGTCGTGTCGACTCTGGCCTTGGTTCCCGACGCCGTAGGGGTCGTTCAACCTTGAACGATCGGCCGTTTCCGAAACGTCCGATCGTTCAACATCGACCGATTACGGGTCGCCGGCGGCGACCAACGTTGAACGCCGTTGGCGGGGTCGCCGCCGGTCGACACGACGCGAGCCTACAGTACCCATGTCGGTCGTACCGATTCCACGGCGGGGCGAGCGCGCTGGCCTCGTGCCACACCAGGACGTGCTGGCCAGGCCCCAGGTTCAGCCGCCAGCCTCCAACGGCTGCGAAGCCCCGCCGCCCGCGCCAGCCCGCGAGCCACGCGCAGCCGGAGAGCGCAGCGAGTGCGGCGGCCTGCGGGCTGTTGGCCCGGAGGGAGCGCCCAACCAGCCTCGAGCTCATCCCCATACCTAAGGTCAGGGGCCTCCCACATGGGATGCGAGTAGAGGGGGCCGGAGGATCGCGCCGCATCGCCGATGCATCGGCGACGTCGGCGGTGCACGGGCGACGCTGGCGTGGAGAGCATCGGGCACCACATCGAGCCGCATCGCCGATGCGGCGCCATCCTTTGGGAGGCCTAGAAAGGTTGATACGCCGAAGGGCAATGGCAACCTTAGGGATGCGCCCTTAGAAACAGCGGGAATCCTCGCAATCGGCATCGAGGTACGGTGATGGCAATGATAGGGGTAGGGATCTGTTTGTCAGGCTGGTGAACGGCTGGATCCGCGCCGAGATGCTGGAAACGACGCACCACGCGACAAGCCCCAGGCCGGTGGTCGTCGTCGGGGAAGGGCGAGGAGGGGGCGGGGCAGAGGGTCCTGCTTGTCCTTCTCCTCCCTCCCAGGGCGTCCGCGGAGGCCTCTGGTGCCCCCTGGAAGCCCCGGGGGTGCCTCTGCTGGAGGCCTCCGGGCGCCTCCCGAGGCCCAGGAGGCTTGCCCATCCTCTGGGGCAGAAGGCGGGAGACAGCAGAGGGGGAGGAACGGAGGGGCTGTACATGGCTCGAGCCGAACAGAATTCCTCGTCTTCGTACTCTTTTTGCTTTCCCTCGTTCCGTCTTCGTTCCCCCGGTGCTGTAGAAAGAAATCAAAACTACAACGGCCCACGAGATCGCCCAAACACCGTTTAGCTCGAGCCCTGGGGCTGTACCCGGCCCCCTCCGACGACTGTGGACTCTGCTCGAACCGTGCGGCCTCTGGGGCTGTCCTCTCGGGTCGGACGCAAGGGGGGGGGCAGTAAATGGGGGGTCAGAGAAGCATCTTGCGTGGCTGGTTTCCCCAGCGCCTCCTGGCGCTGGAGGCGCCAGCGTATCCAGAGAAGCGCCCAGCGGGGGAACCGAAGCCAACGCGGCAGATCTCGCCCCCCCCTGTTCCCCAGCCCCCCCCTTTCGTCCGACCCGTCCCTAGACCCCCGACGTCATGATTTTGTATCACGTCGATCCCCAGAGGTCTCGACCCACTCTCCGGGACCAATTTCTCGTTCCGAGTCGGCTTTTGACGGCCCCGAGGCCAGGTAAGGCCCCCAGAGGCCGAAACCAGTGAGAACATCCCGCTATGACTTTTCATGGCTCGAGGGTGTCTGGGCCTGGGGCTCTCCTCGGCTCCTTCCCCAAGGCAACCTGCGGCCCCTTCCATGCTTTCGACTGCTCTGCATCCGCTTCGGGCCTGCGGAGGCGTCCCAGCTGGCCCTCCAAGGTCTAAGGTCCAAGGCGTAATCTTGTGGATGCCACGACAATGGACACCACAACAGTCCTATCATTGAATTGAACATGTGTTTAATTATCCCGGCAAAGCAATCTAACAGCGATGTGTAGAAGCATATCTGGAAGCATTCCCCTTAGGACTTAGGTGAGAATCCAGTTGTAGAATTCTGCTGTTCTCGCAGTCGCAGCCTCAGTCTGCCTCGGCTTGCCTCGGCCTCAGCCTCAGCCTGCCTCGGCCTCAGCCTCAGCCTCAGCCTGCCTCAGCCTCAGCGTCAGCCTCAGCGTCAGCCTCAGCGTCAGCCTCAGCGTCAGCCTCAGCCTGCATCAGCCTCAGCCTCAGCCTGCATCAGCCGCAACTTGCCTCAGCCTCAGCCGCAGCCGCAGCCTCAGCCTCAGCCTGCCTCAGTTTCAGCCTCAGCCTCAGCCTGCCTCGGCTTGCCTCGGCCTCAGCCTCAGCCTGCCTCGGCCTCAGCCTCAGCCTGCCTCAGACCCAGCCTCAGCCTGCCTCAGCCTCAGCCTGCATCAGCCTCAGCCTCAGCCTCGGCCTCAGCCTGCCTCAGCCTCAGCCGACATCAGCCTCAGCCTCAGCCGGCCTCAGCCGCAGCTTGCCTCAGCCTCAGCCACAGCCTCAGCCTCAGCCTCAACCTGCCTCAGCTTCAGCCTCAGCCTCAGCCTGCCTGGGCTTGCCTCGTCCTCAGCCTCAGCCTGCTTCGGCCTCAGCCTCAGCCTCAGCCTGCCTCAGCCTCAGCCTCAGCCTCGGCCTCAGCCTGCCTCAGCCTCAGCCGACATCAGCCTCAGCCTCAGCCGGCCTCAGCCGCAGCTTGCCTCAGCCTCAGCCACAGCCTCAGCCTCAGCCTCAGCCTGCCTCGCTTCAGCCTCAACCTCAGCCTGCCTCGGCCTCAGCCTCAGCCTCAGCCTGCCTCAGCCTCAGGATCAGCCTCTCAGCCTCAGCCTGCATCAGCCTCAGCCTCAGCCTCAGCCTGCCTCAGGCTCAGTCTCAGCCTGCCTCAGCCTCAGCCTGCCTCAACCTCAGCCTCACAGTTGGCTCCGGGCAATCAAACTGTAGCCTGGGAATGGTGTTGTGGGAACACGAAGAACACGAAGTGGCCTACAGTCGGCTCCGGGCATTCAAAATGTGGCCCGGGAATGGTGTTCTGGGAAAACGAAGAATACGAAGTGGCCTACAGTTGGCTCCGGGCATTCAAAATGTGGCCCGGGAATGGAGTTCTGGGAAGTCGAAGAGCACGAAGTGGCCTACAGTTGGCTCCGGGCATCGAAAATGTGGCCTGGGAATGGAGTTCTGGGAAGTCGAAGAGCACGAAGTGGCCTACAGTTGGCTCTGGGCATCGAAAATGTGGCCCAGGAATGGAGTTCTAGCAGCGCCAAGAGCGATTTTGCGAGGATGTCCCAAGCGATTTGCGCTTCGACGGCAGCCGCCCTGGGTCCCGCCCCGACCCCCCTGAGGAGTCATGATACTCTCTTTTGACCCTACTAGAAACCTATCAGTCTTCGCTGTTACGTAAAATGTCAGAAGCATGTTCTAAACATGTTTCAAGCATGCCTTTTTTCATGCTTAATACATGTTTTAGGCATCTGGAAGTTACTTGGCAACATGCTTCCTCTCCATTGATCGTCCTCCACGAGCGTAATCGGTCTGACGACCGCGGGAAGAATCCTTGCACCTGCCCGTGCTCATCCCATGAAGTAGACACGCGGAACACCGCCACCCTGCGATGAGGAAAGTGTGCGGTGATGCTGATGGCCCTCCCCTGCCCGCCGCCCCCCGGGGGGAAAAACATCGAGCTGGACTCGTCGACGCATCGCCGGGAGGCCCCCCATGGCGAATCCGCGCGCTCCCGGGCTGGGCGCGGCCTATCGGGGGTCGATGCGTCCCCCCCCTGAGCCTGTCCCCCTTGTCGGTGCCCCTTACCTTCCGCGGCCATCACTCGGGCCTCCGACGGCGATCCCGGGACGATCTCGACGAGGCGCGACTGATGGACACCACCCTTGGCCCCGGGCCACTTTCGGGCAACTTCTGGAAATTTTCTTTCCTGAGCCGATCCGCCCCAATCGTTGCACCTGACGCACATTACGGTCGGGAGCTTTCGCTTGGCGTGTCACCGCGGCGGCCCCAGCGACACGCCATCTGTGCCTTGCAACCGGATGGCGTGTCGCTCCGCAGTCTCGGGGCGGGAGGATCGGACAGTCTCGGGACGTTGGCGCCCGGGGACCGCTGGGGTGCGGATGGCGTGTCGCGCCGCAGCGTGGCGGGCCAGAACCCGCGGAGCGACGCGCTGAGCTGGAGCTCCCGGCCGGAGGGCCGCCCCCCCGAAGGAGGCCTGCCGGCGCAACCGCGGCCGGTGCCGCGCACGGGGCGCCCGCGGGGCGGGGGCCGCGGACGGCCGCGGCATGGATTGCTCAGTCCCGCGGCGGGGCGGCCGGGTGGGGCGCCATGGCGGCGGCCCCCGCGGGCCGCGGGGCCGCGCGCGGCGGGGCCGCGAGGCGGCGTCAAGCTGGCGCCGTATCCTCCAACTCTGTTTATTGATTGCACGCGCGCCATCACCGTTTTTCCCCGCTGATGACCCAACCGCATCTCGATACAAAACGTCGCCAGGCGATCCCGGAACACCGCGCAAACCGACCTGCAATGGGCACGCACGTCTGCATCGTCTCACCACCAGGCGCGTCGGTCTGGCGGGCTGGACGTTCCACTGAGGCCTTGCCAGATCTCTGCTCCACGGCGGTGGTCTCTCCGCATCTCGGGTGCATCGGCCCCGTGAGCCTGTGCACGTACGGGGGACAATTCTTTCTCAAATGTGTTGCGTGTGAATGCGTTGTTGCTGAGCTCCCCAGCCGTTTTTATGGATGATGCGCAACCCCATCACACAAACATCGTGCCCTCCTGGTCGCATGCTGCCCCCCCCCCCCCGATTTTGCTGCAATCGTGTGCGGCGCACCCGCGCGCCGCCTCTGCCACCGCACAACTTATTTGCCACGACACGCAACGCACATTGATACGGAGCTCAACCAGTAGATCAAATAGGTCCGACGCGATACGATCGCCAAGACGTGGGCCAATACGTAGAGCCAACGCGCACGGACGTTTTGAACACGGTACAGGTTGCGTATCAAAACGGGCGTATCGAACCACCCACGTTTTTCATTTTCGCACGTGCATTTTTTGCAGTGTGGATAAAAACGTGCCCATCGATAGTCCTTGCCGAGAAAAAATGCACGCGTCCGGGCGATGCCAAAGTGACAGCGACGTCCCCATGTGGCGGTCTCAGTCGATCGAGTATCGGCCAATGCCCGTGTCTTCCCGCTGTCAACGCATCGCAACTCCGAGCCCTCCTAGTGCCCCTCCCCGCGGCAAGGCCGCGGGCCCGAAACCAAAAGAGGAAGGGGGGGAGGAGGAGGAGGAGGAGGGGGAGGAGGAGGAGGAGGAGGAGGAGGAGGAGGAGGAAGAGGAGGAGGAGGATGAGGAGGAAGAGGAGGAGGAGGAGGAGGAGGAGGAGGAGGAGGAGGAGGAGGAGGAGGAAGAGGAGGACGAGAAGGATAATGATTATGTTGATAATGGTGATGATGATGGTGATGACGACGATTATGATGATGCTGATGATGGTTCGTTCGTTCGTTGGTTCGTTCGTTCGGCTTCCTGCTGAAGTGCCTCTTGGGCCCGACGCCGCACACAGAAGCTACGTTACAACCTGTGTCAGGGTTATCTTAAAGTCTTACGCCATTCAAGCCACGCGCGCTGCCCATCTCTCCAAGACAGCCCAAAAAATGGTCGGATCAGCCAATCACCCCCGTAAAACTTATAGAAGTCGCGCTCCCAATGCCAAATCCCTACGGCACGATGGTGCAACTGGGATCCTTGCCATCTTGTCATGGCATGCATCCCGGCCCCATCGTGAAAGCGGGGGGCTCTGTAAGCGATGCATTTTGGCGCCGAGCGGGCCAAAGACTGCAGGTGGCCTGCCCAGGCAGGTCTGGGGCCAGGCTTCGATATTGTAGCGCGTGCGGACATCCAAGACTGTGGCCATCGCGGCCTTCATATATTCTGCTGCTGTCTCGCCTCTGGGAGGGCGGGTCATTCTACGGAACATAGTACTATGTCATTTCGAAATCCGACTCATGGCTGACACGGTGATGTGGAGACTACCTATACAATATGTCAGAGCGGGGCGGGCATATCTATCGAACGTTCTCGGCCTTTCTGTAGGCTGATCTTCGGACTCGTTAACAGGTGGCATGGCTCTATGTGCTGCCCAGGTTCTCCAAGCCCGCTGGATCAGATTGCCTATCTCCTGCGTGCAGTTGCGGTCAAAACCTACCCAAGTACCCAGGACTCTTAGACCTACGGGGCGATCTACACGGCAACGGAACGCTGCGGACGCGAAGCGTGCCGATATGTGGTACCACTCCATCTCATCCACGGGGACTTCCAGACCGCGGCGAGATAGGATCCGCAGCCATGCCTGGACGAAGGATTTCTCGCGCTGAATCGGGTTAGTGAAGGCGTTCGCAGGCAGACGGGCGCGGGCGACAGACCCACGAGTCTCCCTGGCCCAGAAGCCAGCTGCAATCCGTGAGACACTATGGACCTGGCGAGGGCAGCGTGCGGAATGTTGTTGTGGAATTTCCGAATGCCCCCCCCGCCAAGACCAGGGGGGGGGCCTTGCATTCGCAAGATTTCTCTACTAGGTGGCGCGAGCTATATGATTTCGCGGGCCTGGTAGCTCCCGTGGAAAGCGAATTCTGGCTCGCAGCGGCTGGACTCAATCACTCCCCTTTGGGTTCCAGAAGAACCATCGCGCTCGGGGCTTTTTGCAGCGCGGAGACGAGGGCGATCGGGCGGAACTGCGAAATCTTCTTGGCCTCGGGCACCTTCCGAATCAGCTGGGCCACTTGCTGGCCGCGCGCCTCGTCGAATAGCTCCGAAGTTTGATTTTGGACCCGCAACCGGAAGGCTCCCAATAACCGGTTTAGAACGTCATCCTCCAGAACTTGAAGCATCTCTCTGGCTATCATATCTGACTCGCCGCGCGACTTCGCACTATTCAAACGGCCTACGCACAGCTTCAGCAGCGGGGGGCTCAGGGGCACCTCCTGCTGCTCGCTGGGGGTCCGCTGTCTGTGGGTGGGCCCAGGCTGGCAGGGCCGCGTCGCTGTTCGGGTCCTGGAACTGCTTCGCGCAGAAGGCGCGGGCCTCCTGGCGACGAGCAGCTCCAGAAGGCGCCGGTTTGCCCGTCGCGGTCTCCAAACTGAAGACGGGTCGTTCTGGCTTGAAAGGTTCTCTCCGCCTTGCCGCGATCACAGAGCTTCTCCAGGTGGGTTGCCGCGCAACAGTCCCGCGTCACCTATTTTGCTTTGCGCGCCGCTGGCCCCGGCAGGTGGCGGAAGCGAGGGTCGCCCTCCTGGGCTCGGGCTCGCTCCAGCGCCTGAAATTGCAGCAGCTGCGGGTCTCCCTGTGGCGGTCTCCACCGGCCTCGCTTCGGCGCGTGGCCCGCCGCGGCGGCCGCCGAGGAGACCGCGGTCGCCGGGGCGCTCAGCGTGGCGATGCCCGCGCGGTCGCAGCAGGCTGCGGCGGGCGGCGGCTGGAGGAGGGCGCGCAAGGTGCCGCCCGCGTCCTCGCTGCGGGCGCTGTCCGGACGGCGCTTGCGCGCGACGCGGCTGGCGGGGTAGTGCATCTCGCAGGTGGCCTCGAACTCCTGGGCGCCCCAGTCGGCGGTGGGGCACGGGCGGCGCCAGTTGCTCGTCGCGCGTCTGGCGTCGCTTCCCATCTTGGCCAGGTAGTCTGCCTTCTCGTTCCCAGCGTTGCTATTGTGGCTCGTAATCCACCGAATGATCAGCTCGAGCTGTGCATTTGCCGTCGCCTGGGAGGCGAGCTCGAAGTCCCCCCGGTCTGGGAGAAGACCTGCATCAGGTCGCGGGCGTAGGCGGAGTCCGCGGTGATCAGGATGCGCGTGCGGTCGCGCGCCAGAGGCGCGGGCTGCAGGCGCTGCCCCAGGAGCCAGAAGAGGGCCTCCACGATGGCGGAGAGCTCGCCCGTGTTCGACGAGAGGCACGTCGCGCCAACGAAGCGCGGGCCCCTCGGCGACGTCGTCATCTGGCCACGGGTCTCCAGCAGCGGCGCGCCCTGGTCGTTGGGCTCCGCGACGAGGCAGAGCGCGAACCCTCGGCCTGCAGCCTCGCTGCGGTGACGCAATGCCCGCTGCCGTCCTCGTCTCGCCGAGCTGTCTGTGGCATTCATCAAGTCGCCCTCGGAGTGCGTCGACGGCTCGGGCGACGTGAAGCCGAACTCCAGGGGCGCGCAGATGCGCGAGCTGTATTCCTCGTGGTTGTCCACCTGCCGCGCGACTGGCTTGCGCGGTGGCCTCTCCAGCTCGTCGGTCGGTTCATAGTTCGCGTGGCCCTCGGCGGCGGCGATCGTGGAGACTGCGTGGCAGCGCGGCCGCAGGGGTAGGTGGTCGCTCTCAGTGGCGTCGCTGAATCGTGCTTGGCATTGTGTCTTGCGCAGCCAGTCACGGTGGGCGAGCGTGAAGTCGATCTGTCGGGGCTCCTTGCGATTGTTGAAGAAGCACGTCGCCTGGCCAGGCTGCCCCTTCGAGAAGGTGTTCGTCGCAACAAGGCCAACCTCTGTCATCCAGTCATGCAATATCTCTCCTCTCCAGGTCATCGTGGATGAGGAGCGTGGGCCAACTGTGCCTCCATCCGAAATTCCATGGCCATCCTGGGCGTCGATGCTGACACTGGCGCGGCAATCAACTGGCATAGCAATCCCGTAGCTGCTCGACAGTCTGTGCAATTTCACACCGCATGCTGGAACAACAGAAACTGGTGGCTGGTGATGAGGCGGGCGCGGTCCCAGATCGGCATCCGTAAATCTAGGGCCATGGTGCGACCGCGAAGCTGAGGGGCACCAACGGCGGAAGGTTGCAGGGCCCCCGCAACCGCCATCGCACATCTGTGCCAAGCCCCCGCTGGAGGCGACACGTGGGCAAGATGGCCGTCGTGCGACTGCGCAGCTCCGCCAGCAACGCGCCACTCTTGAAAGAGAAAAATTTGTGGATCAAATTCGCGTGCAAATGCGCCCATTACGTGTTGCCGCTGTCTAGCAAGGGCGCCTCTCGCATTCCAGCCCAGGACTGCGAGGTCCCTGACGGCCCTAGCAAAGCGGCGACCACGCACTCGGAACCATTTTGCTCGAGGTGGGTCGTTGATCTCGTCCAGCCTGTCTCTGAGCCGCTGCGGATCGGCCTCTCCGTGCTGTTCCTGCGATATGCCACCAGGCCTCAGTCCCAGACCGCGTCGAAGGCGCGCAGCTTGGTCTCCTCCGTGCACAGCCCGCGTTCCGCGCCGTACTCGCGCAAGATGCGGGCCGCGAAGCTCGCCTTGCGCGGCAGCTCTACCTCGTGCGGCTCTTGGTCCACATTGTGCCACAGCCTATTATTTGGTGCGCCAAGGCAGGGGGTCTTGTGGCCCTTCCAGCGCTTCATGAAACCCCGCATCTTCTGGGTGTCCGCAAAGACCATCTTGGCTTGGTCTCAGAACATGCCCACTCCGTACACCTCCGTAGTGCCTTGGCGCTCCAAAGTCTCTGTCAGCTCGGTGCGCAGATGCCTCTCGACCTCGTCCTGGTCCCATGTGCCAGGGAAGCCCGCCACGAACACAACGTGCTTGGTGTTCTTCCCAGCCCCGCGCATCTGCCGAAAACCGGGTCCAACAACGGATGGGGCGGCTCCGTCTTGCTGCTGCTGCAGGTCGGTGCCCCGCGGGTCAGGCGGGCCGCTGGCGGCGGAGGCTGGCCTCTGACCAGGGCGATAAGCGGCAGCTGCCGTACTCGCCGCCGAGAGGCGACCTGCCTCGAGCGCATCCAGCCTGGCATCCTGCGCCCTCAACCGTGCCTGCACCGCGGCGATGTCTCTCGCGCTGGTCCCCGTCGTGCGCTTGATCGTCGCCACGCCATACCCTATCGTCTCGATCCTGGTGCCCGCGGGGGCAGTCAACGAGCCGATGATGTACTGGGCCATGTTCAACTGGGATGGGTCTGACGGTGGGGGCGGCGGCGACGCAGGAATGCCCATTGTATCCCTGCGGCGCCAGCCGCTGAAGGTACGGTAAACCCTGCAGCTGCAGCCCGTGGGACCTCGTCCAACAACCCCGGGCCGTCGTCGGTGGCTGCGTCCTCGACGCCGTCATCGCCGAGCTGACCCTGGCCAGCTACGTGACGGCGCTTGTCTCGCTCCCAGGCCGCGCCGTTGCCAGCCGCGCACCCCGAGTCAAGGGCAGGAGGTGCCTGGGGGTGGGGCGCGGCTGTCGCCATCCCGTCCGCAGCAAAATGCGCGGAGCCCCAGGGCGGGCACTGAAGGCACGCAAAAAGAGGTCCGAGGCCTGAAAGAACGCGGCAACCTCAGGCCGAGCAGGGCAGCTCGACCAGGGCGTGCGACACCTCCCTGGGTACCGCCTTGACCCACCATGGTGATGCTGATGATGAAGGGGAGGGGGAGGAGGAGGAGGCGGAGGAGGGAGGAGGAGGAAGAGGACGAGGACGAGGACGAGGAGGAGGAGGAGGAGGAGGAGGAGGAGGAGGAGGAGAAGGAGTAGCGGGAGGAGGAGGGAGACGAGGACGAGGAGGAGGAGGAGGAAGAAGAGGCTGAGAATGATGATGATGATGATGATGATGATGATGATGAGGAGGAGGAGGAGGAGGGAGGAGGAGGAGGAGGAGGAGGAGGAGGAGAGGAGGAGGAGGAGGAGGAGAAGGAGGAGGAGGAGGAGGAGGAGGAGGAGGAGGAGGAGGAGGAGGAGGAGGAGGAGGGGGGAGGCAACGGAAGAGGCAGGGGAGGAGCAGAGGGAGGGGGAGGAGGAGGAGGAGGAGGAGGAGGAGGAGGGAGGAGGAGGAGGAGGAGGAGGAGGAGGAGGAGGAGGGGGCGGAGGAGGGGAGGAGGGGGAGGGAGGAGGAGGAGGAGGAGGAGGAGGAGGAGGGAGGAGGAGGAGGAGGAGGAGGAGGAGGAGGAGGAGGAGGAGGAGGGAGTAGGAGGAGGAGGAGGAGGAGGAGGAGGAGGAGAAGGAGGAGGAGGAGGAGGAGGAGGAGGAAGAGGAGGAGGAGGAGGAGGAGGAGGAGGAAGGGGAGGAGGAGGAGAGGAGGAGGGCGATGACGAGGAGGAGGAAGAAGCGGAGGAAGACGATAAGGAGGAGGAGGAGGCGGCGGAGGAGGAGGAGGATAAGACGCTGATGGACGCGGCCGCGCGTCGCACAGACCGGCACTAAACCATGGGTAGGCCATGTAGGCCCGCCCCTTTGCCTTCAAGACGTGCGCCAGCCCACCAAAGGATCACGGCTACGCACGAGGCACAAAACGAGGCCCTAAGCCTCACGAGACACGTCCCTTATGAGACGCACCCAAACCACCTCAGGATCGGAGGCCATCAATGGCCTCGGGGCCGAGGGGAAAACACGTCCTCCCACCCGTCCCTCGTCAGCGGGGTGGGCCCCCGCGAGAAACAAGCGACGGTTTCGGGCGGCACGCTCTGAAACAAAATTGGGGTTGGCATTGCACTGGAGCAGTGTCCCGCGGTTCCTGTAGTGTAAAACCCGCAAGAGACACAAAGCACACAGTGGCCAGGCGCGACCCACAGGCGGTGGCCCCTAGAGGCCTGCGCAGGGACGATCCCCAGACGCGGGATGGCCTCCAGAGGCGCCACGTACTCAGCCTCATTGGGCCGATTGTTTCTGCCTGGCCCACTGCGTCTCCTCTTAGTCGGCGGGAGGAACGCAGGACCCTCTCGCTCGGGCACCCCTGAAACTCCCAAGTGACCTGCCTGATCAACTCGGGTGACAGCCATCTCCATCTCGGCTCTGTCAGCCGAAGAGGTGTATGTGGTTGGGTCAAACTCCGCCCTCCTACGAGTGACGGCAACACCTGCAATGCTATCTTCATTCGGTCGCTTCCTGCCCTCCTGGCTGTTCCTGAAAGTCCCATGGAAGTCCAGGGAGGCAACGAAGGTCGGACCACAGGCGTCTCCGCCTTCGCCCTCACGATGCTGCGAGGACGAGGAGGGCGACTCCACAGTCACGCCACAGGTCCGAGGAGGCACTCCACCCACCTGGCCCATTGGGCCAACATCGTCCTTCGGAGGGCAGGATACTCCGTGAAACTCTACTGCGGAGGTCTCCTGAGTGGTCCTGGCATGACATAGCATAGCCTGCAACTTCGCACGGGTGACGGGATTGCGCGTGCCACGACGGCAGTACAGGCAACGAGAAAACTTCGCACCATCTTCGAAAACATGACACGCATGCTGGGGCGGCGGCGGGACATCAACCTTGGACACCCGCATCCGATGGCTCCGTCGCCGCTCTCTCTTGTGCGTGTCAACCCGCTTCGTGGAGGCATGATGCATATGCGCCTGTGTGACCCAGCTCAGGATACTCCTAGTGTGACACAAGGCAAGCTTCATCGCCATGATCTGTGACTGGCTGGGGGCATGGATATCACGACCGCAGCACGCAGCCTTATCAGCCCAGCGATTCGCTCTAGCCTCCTGGGAAAACCCCCTTTGGTGGCCTCTCACGTGGGAGACACGTAGGTCTTCGGTGAGACCACCGAGGTCCTGTACTTTGTGCCAGATGGCCTTCCAAATATCCGAGTTAGGCCGCCTTGGGCCGCATGTGTACTCGGGCCCCCCAGCCAGGCCTTCAACGACTCCTAAGTAAGGAGGAGGAGGGGGAGGGGGAGGAGGAGGAGGAGGAGGAAGAGGAGGAGGAGGAGGAGGAGGAGGACGAGGCGGAAGAGGACGAGGAGTAGTAGAAGCATGAGCATGAGCAGGAGCAAGAGCAGGAGGAGGAGGACCAGTTTAAACTCAAGAACCATCAACGATGTTGGAATAACCCCTCCCTCCAAGCTCCCTTTTCATACGCTCCTGCTAGGGTTCTTTCCATTGAAGGACCTTCCTCCATGTAAGACAACGGTTTGGTGACCCTGAAGCACGCCAAAACATTGTTCTCGGGATTCCAACGCGGGATTCTAACGCCACGGGTCAACCTGACATCCGGAATCGTGCTAGAACGCCATTCCAAGGACTTCAACACAACGAACCAACATAACGGTTGCACCCTCATAACCCTAAATCCTTGCAAGACACCGCTTCTAACACGCGGATGATAACAATCCGTGAATATCTTGCAACTTGTTACAAAGAATGTGCGCCGCGCTGAGGCGAGAACCGCATTTTGAAAAACAATCGCCCCCAACCCGTGAAACTCTTGCACATGTCTAAAACGAACGTGCGCGGAAGTCGATACCACATTTTGAAAACGACTCGCCCTCAATTCGTGAAGCTCTTGCAAATGTTTGAAACGAATGTGCGCCGCGCTAAGGCGAGAACCACATTTTGAAAACGATCCCCTCAATCCGTGAAGCTCTTGCAAGTTGTCAAAAAGAATTTGCGCCGCGCTAAGGCGAGAGCCACATTTCGAAAACAACCCGCCCTCCACCTGTGAACATGTTGCCACATTTGAAGCTTCGGAGTCATATATGGCGAGGAAATCTCAGACGAGACGCCCTGCCCACCCTAGCATTTGCCTCGGGGTGCGACAGGGATAATTTCAGAAGGAGAAGGAATGGGCGAGGAGGAGGAAGAGGAGGAGGAGATAAAGGAGGAGGGGGAGGAGTAGGAGGAGGAGGAGGAGGAGGAGGAGGAGGAGGAGGAGGAGGAGGAGGAGGAGGAGGACGACGAAGAGGGGGATGATGATGATGATGAATGGATGATGATGTTGATGATGATGGATGATGAGGAGGAGGAGGAGGAGGAGGAGGTGGAGGAGTAAGGAGGAGATGGTGGAGGAGGAGTGAGGAGGAGGGGTGAGAGGAGAGGAGGAGGAGGAGGAGGAGGAGGAGGAGGAGGAGGAGGTAGGGAAGGGGAGGAGAAGGGGGGAGGAGAGAGCAGGAGGAGGAGGAGGAGGAGGAGGAGGAGTGAGGAGGAGGGAGGACGAGGAGGAGGAGGAGGAGGTAGGAGGAGGAAGTAGGAGGTAGGAGGAGGAGGAGGAGCGACAACTTCGGGAGAATTATGGGCGACCGCAGCGAAGTTTCGAGGCCACGAAGTGCGCTCTGGCGAGCGCCAGCGGCGACGCCTGCGAGGCCAAAGACGGGGACTCGAAAAAAGGAAAGCGATGAAAGGGGGGGGTTGGAAGAAGGGGGGGGGTAGGGAGGGGGTAGGGAGGGGGAAGGGAGAGGGGGGGGGGGGTGGGCGAGGGGGGAAGGGGGGCGATGCATTGTAGAGCACGGCATGGCATGGCGTAGAAGAGCACCGCAAAGCGTAGTATCAACCTAGCATTGCATTGCATGCCGTGGCATGTCACGGGAAATGACGCCAACGCTGCAGCGGGAGCACGAGTCGAAACGAGCGGAAGCGCGGAAATGAGGCCAGCGCTGCAGCGGGAGCACGATTCGGAAGCAAGGAAATGAGGCCAGCGCTGCAGCGGGAGCACGATTCGGAACGAGCGGGGGCCCGAAAATGAGGCCGGCGCCTCAGCGAGAGCAGCATTTTGGAAAACATGCAAGCGAAAACCCAACTCCGGGGAAACCTGTGCGTAAAAAGCAATACGCGGGGGGGGGTCGGACACTGTCAAACCGTCATCAGGGGAAGAGGGAGAGTAGTATTCATATTGAATAATTGTGGAGGGTGGGAGGAGGAGGAGGAGGAGGAGGAGGAGGAGGAGGAGGAGGAGGGGGAGGAGGAGGAGGAGGGGGAGGAGGAGGAGGAGGAGGAGGAGGAGGAGGAGGAGATGAGGGAGGATGGGAGGATTTGGGGTTTGGGGTGGAAGATCTGGACACCAGAAGCGGAACGTCGCCAACCCCCCCCTGCCAAAACAGGCTGCGAAGGGCGGCCCACCGCGGCGGTGGAGAAGACCTCGATGGCGCCCAGGAAACCGTTGAACCTCGCGGGCGGCAGGCGAGGGTGGAGGGGGGGGAGGAGATGGAGGGAGCGACGGAGGAAACGGACGACGAGGGAGTCGGGAGGGAGTGGTGAGGGAGAATCAACACCGAGCAAAAGCTACAGGGGTCGATTCAAGCACACAAAGCACTGATTCGCTACATCACGGTGAAACGCTGTAGTTACTCAGACGCAGGGACAGGCCCGCACGGAAGGGACGAACGGACGAGCTGCCCGGTCGCAGGGGGGCGCGACCGAGACCCCCTGAACAGCCACACGTGGTCGGAACTTCGAACGATATGTCCGCCGACAAGGAACCACTGTCTTTGTGCTGGTGCCGCGGCTGCAGCGCTGCGCTCAGGGACACACCGCAGCGCACGGCCGCACATCACCCAGCGCACGATCGGGCTTCCAACCGAAAAGCTGCACGCAACACTCCCAAACTGGCAAGGCCGACTGGGAATACTGCATGCAACATGTCGATTGAACACCTGCGCAACTTCGCAAAATCTGGGGGCATCGATCAATGCCGGAAATCCTTTTTCGACTAAGCGCGCGTCCGCCTACCCTTTGAGGACATCCATCCATGCCGACCGGTATTTCTCCACGTAGACCGTCGGTGCCGAACCCGTCGCGGTGAAGGTGTCCGTCGTAAGGTTTTCTCTTGCTTGACCTCCGACTCAGAAGACGATCGGGAAGATAAATACTACGAGGACGACGATGAGGAAGGGGAGGAAGGAATAGTGCAGCCTGAGTGTGTTCTTCAAGTAGATCGGCTCCCCAGGCGGCGGCATCAACTCTACGATCAGCATCTGCAGCCTGCCCGGAGTTGCCCCCTCCCCTCTTGCAAGCGCTCAGACACGAAACAACACTCCCGCTTGGCCTCCTTCTCTTCCTCCACTGCCTCATTCCCCTTCCCCCTCTTTCCTTCTCTCCATTCAATTCTATCCCATGCCCTGCGCGCCACCCGCGCCTCCTCCTCCGCCGCCTGCTCGGTCGGGCGGTCGGCCAACCGACGATCTGCGGCAACGCTACCGCGTTAGCACTGGGGCGCAAGTTTCAAGTGAATAAGGGGACGCGGACGCAGCAATTGAGGACACGGACATGGAACTCAAGCCCCACCCCAATCCGCGCCGCCTCCTCCTCCTCTTTCTCTTCTTCCTCCTCCTCCTCCTCCTCCTCCTCCTCCTCCTCCTCCTCGTTTTTCCCACCGAGCCGACGGACGGAACCGGGTCTTACGCGAAATGACGTGACGACCCCGCGCGCTGACCCACTGCGGGTCGCCAGCGTGGCGCACCGCGTGGAGAAGAGGGCGCTTGCGCGCGGCCTTGCGCGGGCAGCTCGATGTCGGCGCAGCCGACCCGGCTTTTTCCCGCCGCCCACCTGGTGTATCATGCAGACTGAACAAACATCTACCTGTAAGTCGGGCCTGTCCCCCTACAGGCCGATTTTGGGCGAAAAACGAAACATACCCCCCAAATGCTCCCAAATGGTCCACAAATGTTCAGACAATCGTCCCCCGACTATTTTTTGGCTGTTTTTGAATATCCCTCCTGTGCAGGGACAGGCCCGACGTAAATCTACCTGGAGGGCTTGGGGGTCGCGCGGCGCACGGGCGGCGGGCGCCCCGCCCCGGACAGCTTCCCGACGGGAGCTCTCGGTCCGCAAGACGGCCCCGGAACCGCAAAGAGTGGCGCGGCCCCTGCGCCTCCAGAGGTCCCCTTGTGGGCCGCGGGAGACGCTTGGAGGTCAGGCAAGCATAACGCTGTGAGCCCAAATCAACTCGGCCCTGGATGATCAAGGGAAAGGGGGAGGAGGGGGAGGAGGAGGAGGAGGAAGAGGAGGAAGAGGAGGAAGAAAAAAAGAGGAGGAGGACAAAACAAAAGAGAAGAACATGATGCTGATGCTGATGCTGATGCTGATGATGATGATGATGATGAGGAGGAGGCGGAGGAGGAGGAGGAGGAGGAGAAGGGGGAGGAGGAGGAGGAGGACAAAGAGGAGGAAGAGGATGAGGAGGAGCAGGAGGAGGTGAAGGATGTGGAGGAGGAGGTGGAGGAGGAGGAGGATACGATGACAACGTTTTTGTTTTTTTGTTTTTCTTCTTCTCGCGTGGACAAATACGACGAGCCCGGGGTGTCTAACACGCGAAACGCGGGCGTGGAAGCTGGCCGCCTTCCGCACCCCAAAGTAAAACGGCAGCGGCGGGCGGAGACGATTGGACAGGGCAAAAAAGGCAGGAACAATCAGTAGGCGACCGTTCGAGTCTGGTGCTCAAGCGCGCCTGCCTGCGCCCCGTCGGTTGCAGCGTGCAAACCGTGCCGCAACCAACGGAGCCTCATGAACAGTTGCAGCAGGATGGGTGCCGGAGTTGCGTCGTCCCAAAGCACGTTGGCTCCCAAAGAGCCACATGCCATTTTTTACGGCGCCAAACTCCTCCCGGCATGCCTCCTCGAGCAAGGTGAAGTAGGCGGGCGCAGCCCGCGATAGTATATGCAACAGGAGGCAAGTCAGCCTTCTACTAACCAGGTCCCTCATAACATATTTCCAAAGGGGCACACACTTGGAGGAGCACAGAAAATCGATTTACGTGCTGCACGCCAGAGTCTGCTGCTCCACGATCACACTTCATGGTCGCGGCACCTCAATTGTATGACTCACTAAGTCGCAATTGCGAACGTACGTCGTCTTGCTCGGGCGTTCCCTGATTTGTCCATGTCGCATTCGGGAACGTAGATCACGACGTGCGGCTGTCGCTGCCTCTACCTATGTCGCATTCGCGAACGCAGTTCGCGACGTGCGACCACCGATGTCACGCTCTGCAGCCGTAGTCCGCCGATCCGGCGTGTGAGTTCAAGGGGGTGGGGGTGACTGGGGTGGCTTTGCCAAGGAAGGGGGGGGGGGGAGGGGGGGGGGTCGGACCCCGGGGTCCGGTGGCGTGGGTTTCTGGTGGCGTGTGGGGGGGGGGGCCGGTGGCGTGGGTTCTGGTGGCGTGGGGGGGGTCCGGTGGCGTGGGTTTGCTGTAAAAACCATGGGATTTCCCTAGAAACCGCCTAGGAACGCTAGAAACCGTCTCAGAACGCTTGGTTTGCCGGGGAGGGGGAGGGGGAGGGTTCTGATGGCGTGGGTTCTGATGGCGCGGGGGGGGGGGTTCTGGTGGCGTGAGTTCTGGTGGCGTGGTGGGGGCGAGGGGTTCTGGTGGCGTGGGTTTGCTTTCAAAGCCATTTGTTTTGCCTAGAAATCGCCTCAGAACGCTTCGTTTCCCGGGGGGGGGGGGGCGAAGGGGGAGGGGGCGAGTTCGCGCGAGAGACACATGAACAGTCGGGGGGGGGTGAGCAGAAACGATAATGGTAACGTTGTGGAAAGTGATCGCGGAGGCGCGCGCGCGAGTGCGGAATGACGCGGCCAGGAACTGGCCAAAGGCAGCGACAAAATAGTGTGCGCGTGTGGCGTGTGGTGTGTGTGTGTGTGTGCTTGAGCGTGCGCCCGGAATGTCTGCGTCTGGGGGATAACCCCGAGCGACCCGGATCGGCGGCACTGGCCGAAGGCCACTTGAATGCATGTAGCGAAACTTCTGGCTGTTTGCCCCGTCGGTGAAACGTTCTTCTCATCAGTCCGTTGGTCGCTGTGGCGGGGAAGTGGGCGCGGCCTCCATGTGCTTTTCGTCGCTAAGTCCGACCGTGGCAAGGTCGTGCTTGAGCTTCCCGCATATCGCGCCCAAGATCAGCTCCCAGCCAATGCCCCTTCGTCGCGGGCTCGGCCCTCATATCGCGAGCATCGCGCCAGAGCGTATCAGTGATCTGCTTGGTGCGGAGCTGGTCGGAGAGCCGCCATAGGTGCCCTGCCGCGCCGTGCTCGGAAGGTGGGCCCGCGAAGACGGACGTCCCGTTCACGACCGGGGTTACTGGTGCGGCGTAGCCTCCCACCTCTCGCAGCTTCCTGATCTCCTCGGCTTAAACTGGGCCCTGGGTGATCTCGCGGAGAGCGAGGAGGTCGGCCTGCAACCCATCGGCCGCGCCGCGCGCCGCGAGCAGCTTGGAACCGAACGAAGACCTGCACGCAAGTCTGTGTGAACGGCTCGCGGCGTCGAGCAAGTGGCAGACCTCCTCGCCGGTGCTGCAGCACTTTGGAGGAGCCCTGGGGCGCTCAAACAAATGAACGCAAATCCCAGGATGCCACATATTTTCACATATTTCCATAATTTTTGCCTTCCCCCCCGCTTCCCATATTTCCCCATATTTTCGGGGGGTCGACGATGAATGGTGTCTGTGTGTGTTTTTCTTCCCCTCCTGGCACTGGCCGAGGCGCGTGTAGACGACGTCCCTCGTACCGTGCCCTATCTCCTCCTCCCTTTTGAAGGGCTCGTCGCTGCGCGCGCGCATCTGGCCGCCGTGTTCCGCGGCGGGGGCGGCGACGCGCGCCTTGATTTTCTGCGCTGCGAGGGCCGCGTTTTTTGAGCTGCATGGCGTATCGTATACGCAGCTTGCGCTTGGCCCGCTGTAGCGCCACGACGCGCTCTGCGACGCGGTGCTGGGCGAGCAGGGGCTAAGCAGCTGCTCCCCGCACAGAGACGAAGAGGTCGGGTACTTGACCTCCATCGGACTCGTCGGCCTTCGCCTTGGCCAGATCGACGTGCGTGATCGGTGTCAGGACGTCGATGTACTCGTCCCGGTCGAGCGCCACGGCGCCGTCGGCGTTGCGGTGTTGGTGAACGCCGCAGTTGGTGAAGTCGTCGTAGCCCCCCCCCATCTTGCCGAAGACGCTTTCGATGTGGCCTGTGAGCTTGTCGACGTGCTCCTTGTGTCCAGCGATCTTCAGATCGTCGACGTGCTTGGACAGCAGGGGCGCGAACTTTGAGTCGCCAGCAACGCAGTTGCTGGGTGCCTCGTGCTTGACCTCGCGCTCCAGGCCCCGCCTGGCAAGCATCGCGCCGCGGCCTGGTGAGCGCGCGGCCCGGGCTAGTCTCGCGCCGAAGGCTCGGGGCGCGTCCTTGCAGCCCGTGCCGGGCTCGGCGCGGCGCAATCGCTCGGTTCTCTTGTCAAAGGGTTCGTGGTCGGGCGCCGGCCCGAAGGCATCTGCGCCGTGGGGCGGCAGGGCGAGGTGGTGAAGTCCACCTCGCGTGGTGCTTCGCCTTCTCCCTGAATTTCGGCGCGCGTCGTGGTCTGCGGGAATGTCTCCTCGACGTGCGCGGCGACGTAGACCCAGTCCAGGCGGCGCGCCGCCTCCAAGGACAGCGTGCGATGCGAGGCGCGTTTAGCTGTCCCCGCGAACGTCTCCAGGACGCCGGCGCCCATGTCGTGGCAGCCTCTGAGCGCCGCGCGCCGCTGGGTGATCCGCGCGGCATTGCCGTCGGGGCCCTTCTGGTGCCGCTTGAAGACGTGCCTTGAGTCCGCGACGTTTCGGGCGCCCGTTAGTTGTCGCCGTTCGAAGCATTTGTACTTGGCCCAGATGGTGGGCTCCTCGAGGATGGCTGCGGACAACTCCTTCGGTAGCCTGGGTACCTCCTCCGCGGCCAGAGGGTCGGCGTCGTGCTTGATGGCGTCGGTCTTGGCGGCGGCGTGCGCGTTGAGCGCGGATGCCCAATAATCGCCGGCAGCGTGATTTGAGCAGGGGCCGACCGCCCCGGCATTTCTATGGGCCTACCGCGACGTGTTCTTGGAACCCAAAATGTTCCAATAACAAAAACAATGTTCTTAGAACAGAGGGCCGATGCGTTCAAACAAGACAGTCACAACCTTCTAGAAACATTTCGTGCATGCCGGAAGAAGTTCCTAGAACATTCTGTGGTAGGCCTATAGGCGAGCCAGGGCGCCTCGCCA